GCTGGGGACGGGGTGGCAGCCGCCGCCAGGAGGGCATCCCGGCCGGTCACTTAAGTCCCGTGCCCCTACTGGTCACGAGGCCTGACCTGCTCCTCACTTCGTGTCTGCTCCTTTCCTGTCGTTATAGGGATGAAAACCGTCACCCCGAGGAGCCACTGTGAAGGACAGGCGACGTGAGAGCCTGCAGGGCCAGTCCCTGGGTTATGGTCTGTCCGCCATGTGGCTAGATCAAGCTGTGACCCCTTTTGATCCTGTGTGTCCATCTTTGAGACTTGACAAGGTGGTCTCTGAAGATTTTTCCTGTTTGACAGATTTTACATTAAGCTGAAAAGTAATGCCGTGGTCCTGGGCAGTGGTTCCCAGCCTCGCAGAAGCCTCAGTAAGAATGACCAGGTCAGACCCAAGTGTGGGACCCCCACAAAAAAGCGGAAGAGGGCCGGGCGTGGTGGCGCACACCTGTAATCCCAGCACTTGGGAGGCTGAGGCAGGAGGATCGCTGTGAGTTTGAGACCAACCTGGGCTACACAGTGAGTTCCAGGGCATTCTGAACTACATAGTGAGACGCTGTCTCAACCCCCCGCCAAAAAAGCAGAAGAGGGGTGCAGATTCTGAGCACACACTGTGTAACTGGCACCGAGTAGCCTTTTTCCCTCCCCTTACTAAGGATTGAACCCAGGCCTTCATGCTGAGCTACATCCTCAGTCCTTTTTTATTTCCACATAAGGTCTCACTAAATTGCCCAGGTTGGGTTTGAACTTGACCCTCCTGCTTCATCCCCTATGAGCACATAGAAACTTACATAATTTAGTCAACTTGTATAATAAGTACTTCATTGTCGAAAAGGAAAATGCCCTATTTCTCAAAGAAGTAAAAGCACCAAATAAACATATGAAAAAATATTCAACATCACTGGTCATTCGAGAGATGCAGATGAAAACAACGCTGAGATTCCACCTCGCCCCAGAAAGAATGGCTGCTATCAAGAAATAAACCCATAACAAATGCTGGTGGGGCTATGGGGAGAAACCATTGCTGGTGCAACCCCTGTGGAAATCAGTATAGAGATACCTTAAAAAACTAGACTCAGAGGTCCCATTTGACCCAGCTCAGCTATTCCTGTGCTGGATAGCTTCCCCAGAAAACTCAAAGAATCATACCACAGTGATACATGCACACCCATGTTTATAGCAGCACAGTTTGTAATAGCTAAAACTTGGAAACAGCCCAATTGCCTATCAACTGTTGACTGGATAAAGAAGATGTGTGTGTGTGTGTGTGTGTGTGTGTGTGTTTTAAATAAAACAGTATTACTCAGCCAGAAAGAACTAGAAACTAGAGACATTTATAGCTAAATGGGTGCACATTGAGACCATACTCTTAAGTGAAATAAATAGGACACGTGTAAATACCAGATAGTTTCTCTGATGTGAGAAGCTGAAAGTGTAAATAAGGATTAAAATGAATAATTGATAATGTGATAGGATGGAAAGATCCTAAGGGGTAGGGTTAGGAAAGAAGAGAAAGGAAAAAAGTGGAAACAAAGTCTTTGAAATAAGGAGGGGTGGAGGGAGTGAAGGGAGGGCAGGGGAATGGGGAAAAAATAAGAGCCAAGATGCATCACTTCCCAATGACAAATATAAATGTACACCTAAAATGTACCAGTGAAAGAATTGAAGGAAAAAAAAGACCAGATGGATAAAAAATATCTTCTTTCAGCACCATACAAGCAGGCTTGGGGATTCGGAAATACTAGTAAAAATTACATGAAAAAGGGCTGGAAATTTAGCTCAGTGGTTCCACCACCTGCCTTGCAAGCACAAGGTCCAGAGTTTAAGCCCTGGTACCAAAAGAAGAAAAAAAAGAAGAAGAAGAAGAAGAAGAAGAAGAAGAAGAAGAAGAAGAAGAAGAAGAAAAGAAGAGAAAAAAGAAGAAGAAGAAGAAGAAGAAGAAGAAGAAGAAGAAGAAGAAGAAGAAGTGATGTTTATTGACTCCCTGCAGGTTCCAAGAGAAGGTGGAACCGTCGTGGGAAAGACTGGGTTTTACAAGTGTTTGAGGACGGGAAAGGCGTGGAGGAGCGAGGCTCTCGGGAAGGCTTTCCCCAGGACAGCCTGTGCTCCGTCACGAGGGAGATGCTGCATTGTGTCCAGCTTTACATTCAAGGGCTGTGCGACAGGTGACAAGATCCATCCTTCTGGCTCTCAGAAGCCCCTTAAAGCTCTCAGGTAAGGACACCTGCACACCTCAACTCAGAGAAAAGGGTCACAGCTACCAGGGAAAACCCACGTTCCACGCCAGGAACAGTATGCATTCTTTACTGTAGCTGCACGCTAACCTGTTTTCTGCTTGTTCTGACCACACCCGCTAAAACAACCTCAATAAAGAACTCTAGTCCACGTCTTCGACTTCTAGAGTTTTAGTCCATGCTGATGGACATCTCCAAGGTTCGCACATCACTGAAGCCTTTCAGGTTTGGTTGTGAAGAATGCCTGGCTCACCAGATGTGGTGGTACACGCTTGTAATCTCAGCCCACTGGGAGGCTGAGGCAGGAGAAGCTCAAATCTGTGCCCAGCTGGGCAATGTAGCAATTTAGTACAAACCTGTCTCAAAAAAAAAAAAATTAAAGAGGGTTAGAGATGTAGTTCAGTGGAAAGGCTCTGGACACCATCCCTAGTAACACAGACACACACACACACGCGCGCGTGCGCGCATGACTGACCCTGGCTCAGGTTGGGGATGTTGCTCACTAAAACCCTGTGTACCGTGGACAAAACCCTGGGTTAGGTATCTTGAACTGGGGAAATAAGTGAACTATTTAAATAAACACAAGAATGCCTAGTTACTAGCCGGGTGTGGTGGCGCCCGCCTATAATCCCAGACTTGGGAGGCTGAGGCAGGAGGATCGCTGTGAGTTTGAGACCAGCCTGGGCTACATAGTGAGTTCCAGGTCAGTCTCAACTACCTTGTGAGACCCTGTCTCAAAAAACCAAAAGAAAAATAAAAAAAAAAGAATGCCTAGTTACTGTAGGTTTTGTATCAGTCCTCTCGCTTTCTCCTGGATAAATTTAGAATTGTATCATCGGTTTTTTTTTTGTTTGTTTGTATTTTTGAGTTCAGCTGGCCTTGAACTCACTGTATAGCTCAGGCTGCCTCCAACTCCTAGTGATCCTTCTGTCTCAACCTATGGAGTGCTGGAATTATAGGACTACATACGCCACCACACCCTACTTGTATCATCCTTTAAAGCCAATAGGACCAAGGTGAAAGCAGGACTGTTAAGTATTTGTCTTAAAAAAACAAAAAACTGGCTGGGCGTGGTGGTGCATGCCTGTAATCCCAGCATTTGGAAGGCTGAGGCAGGAGGATCTGCAAATTCCAGACCAGCCTGGGCTACATAGTGAGTTCCAGGGCAGTCTGGACTACATAGTGAGACCCTGTCTCAAAAACAAAAACAAACAAACAAAAAAACCCAAACAGGGGCCAGGGATTTGTTTCAGCGGTTCTGCTGCCTGCCTTGCAAGTGGCAAGGTCCCGAGTTTGATTCCTGGTACCACAAAACAACAACAACAACAACCACAACAACAACAACAACAACAAACCCCAAACAAACTGTTTGAGAAACTGTAAGGAAAAAAGAGAGAAAAAGGATCCTCACAACAGCAGGCTGAGGAAAGCCTTCTGACCGCACTTCCTGTGTCCCTGACACCTACACTCCAACTTGATCTCCCCTACCCCTCTGGAAAGTTACCTAACAGCCCTCCTGGCTCTGACAACCTGAGCCCTCTTTCTCCCCAAACACTGAACCAAATGCCATCCTAGAAACTTTGGAAGCTCAGGCAAGAGGATGTAGAGTTCTAGACTAGCCTGGGCAACTTGGCCACTCTTTCAAAATAAAAAAAGGGTGTGTGTGGCGCACACACAGACACACACACACACACGTACGTCTGCAATGTCAGTACTTGGGAAAGCTGAGGCAGGCAGGAGGTCTAAGGTTCAAACTCAGCCTGGGCAATAGGAATTTATTGAGACCCTGCCTCAAAATACTAAGTAAAAGGGCTGGGGATTTAGCTCAGGGGTTCCACCGCCTGCCTTGCAAGCTCCAAGTCCCGAGTTCGATCCCTGGTACTAAAATAAATATAAATAAATAAATAAATAAATGCCAAACATTCCAGAATGAATCAGTTATCTTGATGCATGTGGGTGTGTGTGCTGGGGACTGAACTCAGGACTGGAATGCTAAGCATGTCCTGCACCGCTGAAATCCACCCCCCAGCCTCTTGGTTTTTTTTTTCCTCCATTACTGGGAATTGCTAAGCCCTTGCTCTACCACTGAGCTCTTTTTTGGTCCTCTGCTTTCTTCTTCATTGTCACTTTCTTCCTCTTTTTCTTCTTTAAATAATACTGGAGACTGAGCCCAGAGCTCTCACACTGGGCTAGATCCCCAGCTTTTTTCTTTCGTTTCTGTTTTTTTTTTTTTTTTTTTTTGGTACTGGGAATCGAACTTGGGACTTTATGCTTTCGAGGCAGGTGGTGGAACCACTGAGCTAAATCCTAGCCCTATTTCTTTTCTTATTTTACTTTTTTTGGTACCAGGGATCGAACTTGGGTCCTTGCACTTGCAAGGCAGGCAGGGGAATCACTGAGCTAAATCCTTGGCCCCCTTTTCTTATTTTTAAATTTTGAGACCAGGCCTCCCTAAACCACTAAGTTACACGGGCTGGGCTCAAACTTGTGATTCTCCTGCCCTGCTTCCCAAAGTGCTGGGATTGCAGGTATGGGCCACCACACTGGGCTTCTTCATGAGGTTTCTATAATCATCCTAGACAACCATCATACCGGTCACAGGGTTTCTGCCAACCTAAAAGGAAAGACACAATTTAGAAGGCCCTCTGCTTGTCATAAAATGTCCAAAGAAGCCCATTGTGGTGGCTGGCCTATAATCCCAGTACTTGGGGAGGCTGAGGCAGGAGGACTGCAACTCTGAGTCCAGCCTGGGCAGCTGAGCAACTCACTGAGACCCTGACTCAGAGTAAGGATAGTGGCTGGGGGTCGGGGATTTAGCTCAGTGGCACTGTCCCAAGTTCGATCCCTGGTACCAAAAAGGAGTGGGGGTGGGTGGGTCTGGAACTCAGTGTGAAGGTCCTGGATTTAATCTCCTGTATTAGTTAAAGAAAAGGAAGATGATGAGTGAACAAGATGAAAAGAGTACAAAACAGGGCAGGTGTGTTCCTCAGTGGTAGAGCAAGGGCCATGGGTTCCACATCCAGCACACATGTACAGTACGCATTTCTGGGCCAGCCCCCAGATTCTCGATACACTTCCATAAGGTCAGCTCACTTCGACTAGATCTCCTTTTTCTTTCTTCCCAGACAGGGTCTCGCAATGTAGTCCAGGCTGGCCTTGAACTCACAGTGATCCTCCTGCCTCAGCTTCCTGAATGGCTGGGATGACAGGCCTGCACCACCATGCCCAGCCCTGGAGCTTTTCTGCTACCCCGGCAGCAGCCAGGTTTGTGGTTTAGCACCTGACAGCTATTAGAGACTTTGATGCCATTTGCTTCAGGACTGTATAGAAATATTCTAAATTGTAGACAAGGAAGGAAGCAAGGAGATATAACTGCTGTAAACCACGAGGAGGCTCCCAGAAGGAGACTCATTCTGCAGGTCCCCAAGTGTCAGTACCCTAAGCAGCAAAGATGGAAGTTTGGAAGCCTCTTGAGCCAGAGAGAGTGATGGAAAGTTCCTCAAGTTTGACAGGTTTGACTGGAGAGGTGATTCACCAGGGCACTATATCTGAATATAAAACAAGTTTTTGCCTGCCTGCTACCTACTTACACACACACACACACACACACACACACACACACACACTCACACTTAAAGCAATCTCTATGCAACATCAGTCAGACCAGCAAACCACCAAACAACAAAATATGCTTGGACCCCAGGAAGAGATTTACTTATTTATTCACATGGTACTAGAGATTGAACCTAGGGCCTTACACTGAACTACATCTCAGCCCTCTGTTTTTTGCCCCCCTCTGTATTTTTGAAACAGTGTCCTGCTCAATTGCCCAGATTCTGCTTGAATTTTCGATCCTCCTGCTTCAGTCTCCTGGAGTGCTGGGATCGTGGGCAAGTGCTAAGGCACACCCAGTGAGCTGTTCCGAAGACAAACAGGTCTGTGTGAGCATATGACGCTATCAATGGAAAATAGTATTCAAAAGGAGGATTCTTTCATCAGAAACTGCCTCCTCTCACGTAAGCTCAAGATGTGGGTATGGCGCTGGGTATTTTCCATGAGGAGTTCATGCTGTACTGTTACTTGAATGCCCCTCAATATTTATGTCCAGCACCTAAGATGGGGTCCTGCCTCCTCACAAAGACCGAAGAAAGAAAGTAAATTGGGAAGTCAGGACTCCGAGGCTCAGCCCCACTCTGAAGGCCTAAAGCAGGAATTGAGAGGGTAAAGCAGGCGACGGTGCGGAGCCCGGGCTGGGAAGGCGGAGGGAGAGAGGCCCGAGTCCCGGGGAGTTTCCTTACTGCGCCTCTGGCCCGAGAGAGCAGCGGGCGGGGGCCCCTCTCGCCCCCACCCGCTCCCACCCAGTAGGTTCAAGGGTGCTAGAAAAACAAAACTAAACAAGACCCTATGGGGCACTTTCCTTTTTAGGTCTCATTCCCTTTCAGCCCCACAAAGAGAAAAACGCCCGAGAGCCCCGCATTCCCCGGCAGCGCCGTCACCCGCCCCCGCTCCCGCCCCGGACAAATCCGTCTCCTCCGCCAACTCCCGGACTGGGCGTTCGCGGGGTCCCCACTGTCACCTACACCCATTCCCCATTCA